AGGATAGAACAAGAAGCAATGGGCTTAAGCTGCAGCAAGGGAGGTTTAGGTTGGACATTAGGAAAAAGTTCCTAACTGTCAGGATGGTTAAACACTGGAATAAACTGCCTAGGGAGGTTGTGGAATCTCCATCTCTGGAGATATTTAAGAGTAGGTTAGATAAATGTCTATCAGGGATGGTCTAGACAGTATTTGGTCCTGTCATGAGGGCAGGGGACTGGACTCGATGACCTCTCGAGTTCCCTTCCAGTCCTAGAATCTATGAATCTATGAATGTCCTCTGTTCCAGTGTGTGTCCGCTCCTCTCTTTGGTCTCGTATCCACAGTAGGGAGTCCATACTGACTGCTGAGAGAGCTGGACTCTTTCCATTGCCTCCCACGCTGGCTACGGCCTGGTCCACACTAACCTCCCACTTTGGACTAAGGTACGCAAATTCAGCTACGTTAATAACGTAGCTGAATTCGAAGTACCTTAGTCCGAACTTACCGCGGGTCCAGACGTGGCAGGCAGGCTCCCCCGTCGATGCCACGTACTCCTCTCGCCGAGCTGGAGTACCGGCGTCGACGGCGAGCACTTCTGGGATCGATGCGGGATCAATTTATCGCGTCTAGACAAGACGCGATAAATCGATCCCAGAAGATAGATTGCCTGCCGCCGAACCGGGAAGTAAGTGTAGACCTACCCTAAGTCTGGCACTCTTCTCTTCCCCTGGGGGGCTGCTTAACAACTGATGAGCCAATGGTAAGACTTGTCTTACCAATTGAAAACAGAGGTGCTGCCAGACTTAGCCAGCGGGGAAGCCAAAGGAAAAAGTCCAGCTTCTCAATTGCAGGGTGCATTCACTGGAAGTGGAGAGAAATGTCTCCTTCCCTCAAGCCCGGAGCACATGGGAGGATGTAAACTTCACCTACTTACACCTCTCTCAATAGGCACCCTCTGTTGGTGAGACCAGCCCCTGAGAGAGTGGGAACCCAACAGTACAGAGGACATTGGGAGGTACATATGATCTGGGGCGGGGAACAGTGCTGGGGGCACATGGGGACAGAGAACACTGGGGGTACACTTACCAGGGGATACAAAACGTTGTTGGGGGTGTGATCAAACACTTGGGGATGGCATAGAACATGGGAAGGTAACCAGGAGGTTGTATGGGAACACAAAGCATGATGGGGAGACCAGGGGATCCAAAATACTGCGAGAGGAGGGAGGTCAAAACACTTGAGGGATACAACATGGAGCATGGGAAGTTGCACAAAGCGCAGGTCAACACCAAGAGGGACAGAGTTATAGTGTGGGAGATACACACAGATACAGTGTGGGAGAACACACAGTATTGGTGAGGTACAGAGTCTCACAGAGCAGAAGAACAGAGTAAGGACACTGGGGGGACACAACACTGGGGTACAGAGTAGTACAGAGCATAGGGGACACAGTGTGTGGGGAACACAGAGTACTGGTAGGATGCAGGGTCGCACCGAGCTTAGGAACAGAGAGATGGGGACAAAACCTGGGGGAGGACATACAGTTGGGTGAGCAGGATGCAAAGCACTATATGTATAAACAGTCATGGTCCTACATGCAAACACAGACACTCATATGATTTAATGTACAGTGTGGTGCTGCAGGGCAGCTTTCAGGAGGAAGGGAATCAAACTCATCCCTGGAGCCAGCTCTTTACAGCCCTCAAGTTCTGGGTCCCAGCAACTTCATTGATTCTGTCCTCCTCTCCACACCACCGGCAGAATCATTCTTTTTCTAGTGTCACCTAAAGGAGTCTGAGCCGCATGGTGCACTCCTCACTGGGATGGGAACTGGGATTCCTATGGAATCTCCTCTCAGCCCTCCACTCAGTCTCCCACTGTTGCCCTCTGCGCTCTGCAGCCACCTGCAAGACTTGAGAGACTGTGCTAGTGCTGAGTGACTCCAAAGGAACTGTGGAGTTGTTCCATTTGCTCATTCCCATCTGTGGGCTGTGGCCCTTAAAGACAGTGTGTGGTCTTGAATTGTCAATCTTAACCCCTTTGATTTTGTCTTTGCAGGTCTTCTCTCCCCCCCATTGCTCCATTACTGTTACTGTGGTTGAACTTTTATTTGTTTAGGTGGATAGTAATTTTTTTAAAGCCTCGTTCATACAAACTAAGCGTTAACAGTAACTTTGAAAGGAGTAAGGGCCTGATCCTGCAAGGTTCTGAGAGGTGCTGTGACTTCCTATTGATTTCAGTGGGACTAAAGAGCACTGACCACATGGCAGAATCAAGCCCTGACAGCGTGCCGTTTCTCTTACCATCATTATTTTCCTTATCTCTGCAATGCGCCTAATTCTGTAAGAAGTGCTGTTAATTATCCCCAAGAAAGCAAATTAGTTCTGAAGGCTGCATGTTCGTGATCAGGAACCCGAGCCTGCAAAGCGCTAATCACCTCCTGAGAGCCCACAACTCCCACTGAAATCACTCAGCCTTGTAGGGTCAGGGCCTCGGAAGGCAGAACAAGGGAAAACCTCCACATTATGAGTAGTGGTAGAATTAAATTGAAACTCATTTTGAAACCCAATAACTTCATCTTTTTTTTTCGGACAGGAAAATATTTTTGAGTGCTATCGTATCTATGAATGGAAAAGCGTCCTCAGTTACTTCCTTTAAGGAGAACGTTGGCACAGTCAGCATGTCCCCTCCCATAGTAAAGCCCGAGGGAGGCGCCTAATAGGTAGAAAACTCTCTGTCAGGTTCCTTTTGTGGGATTTCTCCCTGATGGTTCCATCTAGGGGGTGGAAGTTGCCCTCCCTCAAGCCCTGCAGACCCCTTGAGATCTATGCAGATCTCAGGGGATCTGAAAAAGCCAAGGCCATCTGTACAAAGGCCTTGTGCTGCCTATGGAGCTCTGGCATTTCCGGCCCCCTAGCAGTGTAGCTCAAATGGAGCTGTGCAATCAGACACATCTGCTACCCTATGGAGAGTTCTATGTGGGGTCTTGGGACAGGGAACCTCTGTCTACATAATGTGATCCCAAGTTGTAGACCCCAGAAATAGGGGGTTGCAGTGGAACTAAAATTAAACTCATAATATTTCACCACAATAATAAAATGTTCACCACAGGATCCAATTTTTGGTATCAATACGTTTACACCAAGACAGGAAAATAGTTTTTTTAAACCTCTCCTAAATTCAGCCAAGACTTTAGCATTCAAGAGATTAAACACTGTGGGCCATCTCCTTAGCTGATGTAAATCAGTGTAGCTTCATTTTCTTCAACATATCCACACCTGTTTACATGATCTGAGACTCTGGTTCGGTAACTCTTAACGGTTTGTGTAACAATCTGCTTCCAGATATTTTATGGGAACACCATCAATGACTCCATACTTTTTTTACACTTGTATTTTTTTTAAAACCTTTGAAAAACTGTTTACTGATGCTGTATGATTTTAATGTTATAGCTGTTGGTACTAAAAGTGAATCTGATGAACAATGCTAAGATTATAATTTCTTTCATTGTTAAAAAGATAAGACAATTTCAAAAGGAAGACTTTCTGCTTAGGTCAAGGGCACTACATTTGTAAACAATTTTTACCACTGAAATAATTACCTTTTTTGATAGTTGTTGTTGAGTACGAAGTAGGGGAAGAGAAGCAATTCAATACATGTGAAGAGATTCTCTACTAAAAAAAATAATAAATAAATGTAAAAATGACCTAATCAGTTAAGCATTAAATTTATTTTAATGGATTTTTTTTCTTGGCTCAAGAAAATTTAAGTCAAGCAAGAAAAAGTATTTGTCATGAAATTTTGTCAAGGAGGTAAATGTGCATGACTAAAAGCTCTCTGGTAATCTTAGCATTTTCAAACAACATGAAGGCTTGGGGGGCTCTGATCCTGCAATGTGTTGAACGCCCCATTCAAGGTGCTGAGGCCCCTCAGCCCTCGTAGGATTGGGCCTTTGATGAACAAACATAACTGTTGTTTTATGTGTTAGTCATGTCTTGTTGTCACAGTAAATTTTAAAAGAGTTTATGAAGCAAAGGCCCATTTCAAATGAGACCATCATGTAGAATTCTATGCATCTTTAAATCAGTAAATCTGGGTGGATTTTAGCAGGGCTAAACTTGTATTTAATTTCATTATTGGTAATATGGTGAAGTCAACAGCAATCTTGATAGTTAATGGGATTAAGGAAAGGCTATAAATTCAAGTCCCTGTTAAAGAACCTGGGCATCCTTCATCAATTAATATGAGTGAGCCATTAGAATTGCCTCTTCCTGATTGAAGAATACAGTCATGTGTATTGTACATCCTTGTAAGAGGGGCACTATAAGAACCTAACTAAAATAGACTAAATTTCAGGTTGTCTCTTTGGGCACTTAGGATCCTATGACACTTTATTTGCAGAATTGAGGTGTTAATCTGATGTCCTGCTGAATTTCTTCATTACAAACACTACCTCAAGATGAAAGGCAAACTTATTGACTAAGCTAAACAAGGTCTTCTGTTTGAAGAGCAGTTAAAATATCACATGTAAGATGAAAAAGTAATTAAAAAATTCTCCAGTCTCCTCTGCCATGGTTGTAACTATACTTAGTTTCACCACTAGTAGTGATCATGACTGTAAGGAAATTTATACTTCAAGTGATGCTGATAAGTAATGGAGAGTTCTATTTCTGAAGGTTTTGTTCGGTTGGTTGAGTTTTGGAATATTGCTTTGGAAGTTTTGGGTTTGTAAGTATTTTGCTCTTTTTCCACCATATTGGATATATGTGCTTTAGC